TGTTATGGCATCAAAAGAAGAAGATGCAATGAAGACAATTAGAGATTTAGATGTTGATTATTTATTAGTTGTTTTTGGTGGATATCTTGGATATTCATCAGATGATATTAATAAATTCTTATGGATGATTAGAATTGGTGCAGGTGTTAATCCTTCTTTAAATGAAAATAATTATTATAATCATGGTACTTATACTGTAGGTGATCCTTCTAATACATTTAAATATAGTATGATGTATAAAATGTGTTATCATAATTTTTATAAAGCTTCTAATGGTTATCATTCTGGAATGGATGCAGTTAGAAGAGAAATTATTAAAGAACAAACTTATTTCAAAAATATTCAAGAAGCTTTCACTTCTCAACATTGGATAGTTAGAATTTATAAAGTAAATAAACCAAATCCAATAGATTCTTTACTTTAATCTTTTCTTCATCTAATTAAGAATTAAATTAATTCATTTTTAACTTCTTTTTTTTTTTATTAAAAACGTCAAACTTTATTTATTTTCAAATTTATATTTTGTTTTTCATTCTTTAACTAAAATTATAATTTATTATTAATTTTTATTAAAATTTATTCTCTAAAAAAAAAAATTTAAAAAAAAATTAAAGAAAAAAAATAAAAATATTGAAAAGAAAGAAAGAAAAATAAAAATATACAAAAAGATAACATCTAAAAAATCACTTTCATGTCATTTTTTAGTGAATCCAATCTTGATCGTATGATAGAGAATCTTCTCAATATGAACCTTATTCCTGAAGATGCATTACGTGCATTATGTGATAAAGCTAAAGAAATATTATTAAATGAACCAAATGTTATTAAAATTGAATATCCAGTTACAGTTTGTGGAGATCTTCATGGACAATTTCCAGATGTAAAAGAAGTATTTAATATTGGTGGAAAATTACCAGATACAAATTATTTGTTTTTAGGAGATTTTGTTGATAGAGGATTTCATTCAATTGAAACTGCATCATTAATGGTTGCACTTAAAGTCAGATATCCTAATCGAGTTCATTTATTACGAGGAAATCATGAAAGTAGACAAATTACTCAAATATATGGATTTTATGATGAATGTATGAAAAAATATGGAAGTAGTGATGCATGGCAAA